TTCCCATCTCGTCTCCAAAGCTGATCTCCTCCCTCCCCAAATGCCGAAAGGGAACCGTCATTTCCCTCCCCCCAGTTACCGTGGGGGAAGGCTGTCCTTCGCACATGTTTTTTTTCTTGCCAATTTGCCACTGTCGCACACAAGTGCAATGCAATGTATAAACCTTTAAGCGCTTGGCTGTATGTGGCCATTCGGAGGGGGGGGGGACCTGCTGCTGTCCCATTAAAAGGGGCTGGGGGTGGGGAGGAGAGTCCCTCCCCTGCTCTCTCTGGGGCTGGTGAATAAAACCTGCCTCTGGCTGAGCTGCACAGGACCATGCATAAATAACGCCTGCAGCCCAATTTCCTCTGCTGGACCTGGGTGAGGGAGGGAGGGCGGCCCGGGAAGTGATGTGTCATCCCGGAGGCCAGGGAGATGAGAGGCCACACTGGAGGACTTGGCAGCAGGGAGAGGAGCCTCGCCTGGAGGTCCTGATCCAACTCTCCTCACTCCTCAAAGGCACCCACATCCAGGTGGCCACTGGTTGCCCACGAGACTCAGCCACACACTTTCCCAGACCCAGCCAGGATCGCAGCACCAGAAGCAGCAAGGGGAGGGGCAGCAGAAGTAGGGGGGAAGTCCTGGGTGGCCGTGCTGCTCTCTTGAGGCTTGCTTTCAGCTGCAAACCTAGGGTGAGAGTGTTTCTGAGCCTGCACAGAGCACCCTGCTGTCCACCACCGCCGCTTGGGCAGCGTGGCTATCTGGATGGTGCCCAGGAGTACAAGAAACCTCCAAAACAAAGATTTCTCAAGACTAGCCAGGTTTGTTATCCATGAGTCAAATTCTGGTATGACAAAATAACTATGGTTAAGACAAATCATTGTATTACATTATGTTTGAATCAAACCTATGTCTGGGAAAGCCACAAGCTCTTGCTATATCGGAGCTCCTGCCCGCTCGGCAATGCCGATGGTGGGCGGGGGCTGTTTTGCCGCCCTGAAGAATGGGGACAGCAACAGAGCAGGACGCTATGCGTCCTGATGTGGTGGGGGCAGAGCCGGCCCATTCAAAGGGCTAGGCTCTGTTCCTGCTCTTGGCAGTTGCTCCACGTGCTCGCCCACCCTCCCGCCCTGTTCTTAGCGCAGGTTGTTGCTGGTCGCCAATGGGGCCAGGTAGGATTTTTTTTTGCTTCCACCTGGATTGGCTGAATGGGTGGGGGTGTTTTCACCTACCTTACACTGAGATCTGGGGACTGAGGTGATGTTTGAGGTTGATGATGTTTAAATAGGTTGGTCACTTGGCAGGTTTGTGCAAGCAAGAAAACGGAACTGGTGAGCACCTTACGGCATATCCCGTTAGGGAACAGGGGGTCATCAGGAGCTGCCTTCGGATTTCAAGGTCCTGGGTGGGGTATGGTGATCACCTCCACTGGGAACCTTTTAGGGCAGGCTCCTCCCTGCAGGTTGGAAGGCTTCACGGGTAGGCAGTCCTAGAGGAAAACCAGTTTGCTGGGCTGCTGGTCACAAGCCAGAGAGTTGGCTCACGACCAGAGCTGGGTGACCCGCCCTTCAAGGGCAAGGGGATTGGTCAGGGAGTGATGCCTGCCTTGCCTGGTCCATTCTTGCTTAGTTGCTGTTGCTGCAATGTTCTGTTAAATAGTTAATAAAGTGGCCCTTGTTTTATTCCAAACCATTGTCTGTCTCGTTATTCTGGCAGGGGGGGGGGCAAGTTTCCTCAGATGAGTTGTAGACATGGCTATGGGAAAAACCTATGTGTCCATATTACCTTCCTGTTGTGTTTTGTGGTCAAAAGGGTGGTTGTTTGCAGGATGTTTGTATGAATGTGTGATATAAGGGTATTAAAGCCCATACCTACAGAAATCTCTGGAATATGCTGGTTATGGGGCTCATACTGAATACACCACAGTGGTTCATGCAAGGGAAGGTGTTTTGTTGTAATTGTATCTTCTGGATTGTGTCCTGTCTATGGGCTGGGGTTGGGTGAGGGTCCAGCATTGCTATGCTTGGATTGTTTCTTTCCATGCATGTTTAATGTGCAGCAATCACTGGCCTGCTGTACTATAAACTTCATTGAGAATGTATCGGATTTGTGCTTGTGTTATAGTGGCATTAGTGGGGCTAGAACAGCAAAAAAACCCAGGGTTTTTTCTTATAGTGAGCTATTTCAGATGACATTGTGTGCCATAAATGTGGCATATAAATACAGTGGCATGAAGTGTAGAGAAAGCAATAGCAACTAGTAACTATGTGGTAATTTACAGAGCTATCCTAAACAGAGTTACATGATTCTACAAGATATTAAAGCTGGAAACCTGAAGGATTTGTGGTGGACATCTTATTGCATACCCCCTCACACACACTATTTTCTTTTTCCCTTCCATGAAAACTCTCACAGCCTCTCCTCTTTTTCTGTTTCCTTCTTTCCTTCCCACCCACCAGCAAATCTACCTTCATCTTCAGCTTTTCCTTTTTCTTTCCACCTGATAGCCTCTACCTGGGAAAACTATGTCCAGTTGTGTGGTGGAGGCTACTGCACTGTGTTCAGGTGCACTATGCAAAATCCATAAAGACTTGTTGGAGATACCACACTTTCAGTGTATTCCCTTCACCATACTATTTCTTCTATCCCTCCTCCTGGCAACTCCCATATCCACACCTTTCCCTGCTTCCTTTTTTTCTTCTCACCCACACACTCACCTTTTACCAGCCCCCCCCCCATATTGAGAACTGGATATATTGATATTCAGCACCTGTTAGGTTGGCATTCTCCAAACCTGACGCTGATCTTTGCACAGCCAAGCATTATATAAAGTTCCCAAGCATGGCAGGTCTTGATTCAGGTTTGGGTTGCCACACAGGAAGAGCTGGGTCTTCAGCCTTCCTCCCCATGCCAATTTCCCAAACTGAAATGGCTTCTTTGGGTCCCTATTTGCCCTGCTGCAGGGCACTACATGTACAGAATACTGCATGTGGAGCCCTACAGCAGGGCAAACTGGGACCCCAATGCCATTTCTGCTGAGGAAAATGTCATGGGAGCAAAGGCAGAAGCTGTTCCTCCCCCTGCACCATCATCCCAAGCTGAATCGGGACCTGATGTGCTTGAGAACTTTGGATCCCCAGTGCCACACTGGGCTATGCACAAATTAGACATTGGGTTGGATCTCAATGGACAATTTCCATTTTTGCAAGCAAAAATGCAAGAAGGCAAGTTGGGCAACTGTTTGTGCTCAGTCAGATTTATTGTATCCCCACGTTTCTGCTTGCACAAGATGTTTTCTGGGTACTATGATACATAGGGAGAAAAGCACCCAATATTGCATGAGATCCTGTTGCAAGCAGAAGTGTGTTAAGTTTGTTTTTGTTTCCTCTAGCACATTCCTAGATCCAAGCCATAATGTCTAGTTTGTACCTGAGCTCCTTGACTTTACTTTCAATGGAATTAGAAGGGTTTAATTCTGCTTAGGGTGACACTGCTAATCAAATTATTGGGTAAATTGCTGAACAGCTGGTGAAGGAAGACGGCAGTATTTTTGTCATCTGCTATATTTTCCTTAAGTATATTTGATAACTTCCCCAGAGTTACTTAC